TATATATATATATGCACTCTTTTGACCTTCAAGCTGACAAAATATACCCATACAGGATTAGTTACCCATTAAAATGGTTTTTGTATTGATTAAGTGCGTTTTTAAAACGTTAGCCTTTAAGTCATTTTAAGCATTAACAATTTAAAGCATACTTTCAGGTGTAATGCATCTAATGCAAAATTTAAAACACTGTGTTCACTTACTCCATATGGCTTTTTCTCATTTTCATTATCTTCTCAAATCTTTTCAATTCAGGAACCTACCTACTTAGAAAGTCCGGGAAATTAATAAAGTTTCTTACTTTCCTTAACAAGACAGGAGAAAAAAGGAAAAGCATTGTTTTCCAAAAACTTTCCATTTTCAGATTGATGCGTCCAAAACATGTCCGCAAAGTTGTTTAGTCTAGTCATTTTTGTAGAGCAATTACGCTCTCTCTCTCTCTCTCTCTCTCGCTCTCTTCTCTAACCTACATAATAATTTTAGCAAAAAAAAAAAAAAAAAAAGCAAAAAAGCAAAAAAAAAAGACTTGACAACCAATTTAATCTACTGCAGCAACATGAAGCAAAAAAACCTTTATGTAACTTTTAAAGCAAACATTTGCTAAATCTACCGAAAGGATACTTCAACCAAGAACAAGTTAACATAAAAAAAAAAAGAAATGCTTCTCTTTACTGATGTTTTTGGCATCAAATATGACACAATTTCTCTTTTTGCCTTTTCCCTTCGCAGCAAGCTCTTTACAAAACTGATTTTGCGGCAAATGGCGAAAAAAGCAAGCGTGTTGTCCTATGTTTATCAGCTAAAAATAAAAAAAAAATTATCAGCGGTATACAAAAACAACAAATTGACGCTCAACTAACGGTAGAACGTAACCTAAGTAAATACGTCGAAAACAAAAAAAAAAAAACAAAGTAAATTTAAAACGTAGTTTTTTTTCGCCCGCCGACTATACAGAACACAAAACCAATGACCACGTAAATCTGTTATATGAGCTCCCCTTTGCATATACATATATATATATATATATATATATATATATAGCATTTTAGATCAGATAACCAAACATGCCGGTTTTATAACATATGCCAGAAATTTAGGTTTGCATTTGCATAGATTTGTTTTATAAGGTTCTAAAAAAAGTTAGATTTTAAATAAAATATAATTTACAATTTTTATTTAACGCCGCCCCAAAAAAAAAAATAAAACAAAAAATAAGTAACAAAAACATCCTAAAAAACATTTTGCTGAAACCATAGATTATTTTGCTTTTTATTTTTTTGCATTTCATTGTCATATCCGCCAACAAAGATATATTCATTTTGTCACTGAATACGTACATAGTTACTTCCGCAAATATAGAAAGGTGATTTGGGATTTGTAAATGAATCTTCTTCTTCTTGTTCTTGTTCATCTTCTTCTTTTACCTCTTCTTCTTTATAAATCACTATTATCTCCAGAGCAATTTAAAAGGGACAAAAAGCAAAACTTAAAATCGCGTTAAATGAACGAAGGGCGTAACTAATTATGATATTCTAAAATATCCATTTCTTAAATTCACTACACACACGAGTTTTTAATATATTTTTTATTTCATTTGTTTTCAAAAATGCTCAGCGAAAGTACGCATCGAATAATTCGTTGAAAACCGAGTTTGTTTTTCTTCATTTTTGCCTTCTATTTCCCTATTTAGTATACTTATAATCCTTGTTAAGTATAACAATGTTAAAGTTATGCTTTGAAATTTGACAAAAACTTTTATGTTTTATTGAAGGAAAAAACGTACAAGAAATACTAAATTGTCACAAGTAAATAATACTGGGGATTATATATCATGCTTACTTTGTTTTTGAAAATTTGAAAGACCCAAAAAATATGCATTAAATGTTATTTAAAAACAAATGCCATAAAATATACAAGAAATTGTTGGGTTTTTATTTTAAATAAATAGACAAAAGATGCATTTAGCAAAACTGATTGCATCAGAGACAACAGAGGAATGTTTGCATTTAAATAAAGGCAGACAACTAAGATGCTGTCTAGGCCTTGAGCCTACATATATATTTTAAGAAAAAATAAGAACAATAAAATAGGAGAAAACCAAATAAAACAAGTAAGAAAATTATACTTAGTTGTGACTGAATTTTGAATACCCGCCACTTTTACTTTCAAAAAGAAAAAAGACACATAAAACAAACAAACTTCGACAACATTGTCCATCCCGATAGAATATATGCGAAAATTATTCATATCAATGCTATTTTTCCTCGTCAAGAGTTTTCGATTACAGTGATGTCATTGACGCTGCCTTTGTTATTCTCAAGGCAAGGAAAAAATCCAAACTCTGTATGTGTTCTTTTTTTTTTTTTTTCTTTACGACCAATCTCCTATATGTGTAAGATGTGTAGCGATTGGCCACAACCTAGGGAGTATATGCTGCATCAGCAAGTGTTGCATCTTTATCCACTCACCAAGCACTCACTACAGCTACGTGACCACACTATTTTAATCGTAATTAAAGTATGCCCGACAGCACTGGGTCATTGACCTCATGTCGACTTGATAGTCGCGCTTCTTAACAACTTGGCTATTCGATAGTCGTCACTATTGACAAATTCTTTTTGATGAGCGGAATTACCAACGAAAAGGCAAAAAAATATTACAAAAGTCTTCATTCAAATGCAGTCCTATTTCACCAAAAAAAAATCGCAATAATTTATATGCAATCAAAGAAGAAAAAATCCAATTTTCGTTTCTTTTTGCTTTTAAAGACAGAGATGCTCTCACTTTATATTATATTACACTCATGTCCTTTGGCCTATTTAGCCCATTTTCAGCATTACATTGCATAGAAGAACTCTCAGAGTTTTCCCCATATTTGATGTAAATATCTTCCCGACAAAAAACAGTTTATCGCCAAAAGACAGATAGATGAACAAATAATGCAATCGATTCAGAATTTGACAGTAATCAAGAATGTACTTACATGCGCTGCATAGGATCCTATGGCCTAGTTTGTAGATGTTGCAAACTTTTCAAAAAAATGAACTCATCCCCCAATTTCTCGGTATTTGGTATAAAAGTAAATAGGACTAAAATGAAACAAAATAATTGAAATAGACATATGTAGGCATTCAATTTGTTTAAAGCATCTCAACTAAAAGTATGCTAGCAATTGTTTACAATTTTGAGATAAGCAAGAAAATTCTATCATGCGATATAAAATATTTTCAAATAAAGACATTTTCAAGTGGACTAGCAGACTATACGGCCATTTTGGAATGGGATAAATCAAACGAATGAGGAATAAATATTTGTGTTCGTATGGGAAAATAAAATTTGCAGTAGACAGCATTTACCACATGGATACCACATCATTTAACTTTTCAACTGGTTAAAGTCTATTAGCTAAAAGCTGAGACAGACAATACACACAAATTTCCATAATGTTAACATGTCATGGTATTTCTATTTTTTATGTTATGGTCCCGAATAACAGCGTTTAAATCCTGTGTAAATCTTAATTTGCGTATGTAGTGCCTTGCATTTCCACCTTTAAAAATATACAAATGCGCAAAAATTGAACGATATACCACAGATTTCCGATAAAGGTAAGCGAAGCAGATCGTATGTCCAGTGGAAGATTGACATTATTGAAAACGAAGTGAACCAGATAAGGTTTAGTTATAATCAAAATGTTTAGGTTTGCAAAAAAATATAACACAAATATTAGAATTTTTAGTAGTTGAGCAAAATGAAGAAGATGGCAACCAAAGCGATATTATGTTTTTCCCAATTCACTTTCTAGACGGGGCAACGGGCAACGGGCAACGGGCAACTAACTTTCGATGCTAGCAAAAGCTTTGAAACTTTGATCGACCTATGTTTTTTTGAAGAATTTCAATAATTATCCCAAGTTTCTGGCTACGATAGTGTAAAACACACGCTTCGGGTGTCAAGGATGACAACAACAAAATTTTCTTTTTTATGCATGCGATAAAATTATGTCTGATTTAATAAGAATTGTGAAACAAAGTTCTTCCATACTGCATACATGGGTGTAACTTTAATTGTTACGCTTATTGTTCTATTCTTTTTTTTTTATCTTGGTAATAGTCTTCCAATGGCTTATAATAGGCGGACAGAAACATAATATTTTTTTCTACTTATATCGAAAATTATTTATGACTCGAGCTATATGCATCCTTGAGATCTTTGCAATGTGTTTTTGAAAGTAAAAAAAAAAAGGGACTGTCAGGTTACGTTACAAAAAGTTAAAGAGCAAGCGAATTAAGATTATAACGAAAAACTAAAGAAAAAATTTGAAATTAATATAAAATTTTGCGGGAAAACAAGCAAATGAGTAAAAAGCGCAAACACTGTTTTTAACCTTGAAAACTTGCTTCTTCATCTTCAAAAAGTGTGTAACGTTATTTGAAAAACTAACTCAATTATAAAAGCATGCTTTCGCCATTCATCGCTGCAGTCCACAATACAAAAAAATAAATTCCACTTAATTAATAAAGCTCAGGAAAAAAATTGTTCATCATATTTTTCAGGGAAATAAGTTCACCTGGAACCATATAACTACATATAATAAAAAAAAAAAAAAATAATAATAAGATTAGAATCAAACATAAATACATAAATAATTTTAGAATTAGCTGTAGATGAAGAGAAAATAACCTTAACTAACCACTATAGAGAAACCCTAAAAAAATGAAAAAAACCAAAAAAAGCAAAAAAAAAAGGCTATACACAGAAAAAAAAATCATATAAAGAACTATACCAAAAACCAAGCAAACATCACTAACTCAACTATCACCTCTACTATACTATATTACTACTACTGCAACCAACTACTAACGAACTACCAGAAAAACGCAAAAGTCTTGAACAAATACTAATTAAAATTTATATTGTACTTTTTTTCTCCTTTTCTCTTCTTACGTAATAAATTTTTTACATCACAAAAACCGAAATAAAAAATTAAACAAATATAGAACTGGTCGCAATCAACCGCCCATGTATACGGAAACGTTGCCTGGCGAAAGTCTAGCGCTTATGATTACAGCTCTCAGCGTAGAGATGGAAGGCAGATATTATTGCACCGCCTCCTATGCGAACACCGAGCTACTCGAAACCAGTGTTATGATTGAAAGTTATGGTAAGTATATGAGCGAGGTTCTTAAATAAATATTATGCATGCATTAGACTTCTAGATCCTCGGTCTCACATTTCGTTCTACTCGTTTAAGATCAAATTTACTAAACGAATGCCTTCCAGTCTTTTATATTATATGGACTTACGATGGCATGATTAATTGCTGCTTTTGTTTTGTTAAAATTTTGCAACGAAAAAGTTTAAAGAAACAAAAAACTTTTCTTATTTTTCTTAGTTTTTTTTTATTTTTAGTTTTTTAAATTTTTTTTTAAATGATATCTCATTTCTTTTCAACATAACATAACGTTACAAAACATAACATACTTTTGGGTGTTTTATAGCTATTTCACTATTCATAACCAAAATGAATTAATGTACAGAAGAATATGTGCGAACGTATATGCATGTGTTTGTGTATTATTTTCATGTTAATGCCAAAGTTTTGCTTAAGTTGCATATAAGTTTGTGTGTGTGTGTGTGTGTGTGTGTGTGTGTACATGTGTGCATGTTTGTTTGTAAAATTTTGATTATTCTGAATTTCTGTACATCATATACATATACATGTATGTACGGGGCGTAAGTGCGAACTGGTGTGCAGTTTGCTTTCACGGAAGTGTAAAAGTAGGTTACAAATTTACTGCTGCATACTTACAGGCTGCTTTCTTCTAAAATGAATTTCCTTTAATTTTCTGTTTTTTTTTTTTTTTTCAAATAGAAATAAATGAATAATAATTTCAAACGTTAATATTTGCTACAGAAAATTTTTAATAAATTTACTAAAACGTACACACAAACGCATATAAACACTGAAATTCACGACAAATAATACTAAACCGAATAGAAACGATTAAGGTTTCTTAACTAGATTTAACTAACGAATATATAAAGATATTACTTATAACTAGCTAGTGCAGTGTGCAAGTAAGCAATGAAAACTGCGCTTTTTTGATATGATTTTTAAATAGTGCCAACTTAGAAAGGAAATATCTCAATATTTCATGGTAAACCGAACAAATAGTTTATAAGATACAATTGTTTTAATTACGCTACGCAAAAAACATTCAGAGACAATAACAAAAATGACGTCACTAAAACAAGTACAATTTGTTAACTAACGATCGGAATGTTATCTGACAAGCCATCTGAGTAAAGCTAAAAAAATTATTTCTATCTGGAATATCGTTTCAAAAGAGCCTTTTCTCAATCTCCATGGGCCAGAGAGACAGAGCTGGACTGGCATTTTAACTTATCTAAATAACTCCTATTTTATTAAATACCGAAAATAAAAGACGCAAAAAAAAAACACTTAGATCATCTAATAACTGGATGAAGAAGACTTTTTACATCAAAACTTGACCCTGAGTGTTATTATATTTTATATCGATCCCAGATTACTAAACAATAGAAGGTTTCTCTAACCGTGCAAATATATTTGCTGATTTGTGACGATTCCTAGATGTATGGATTGAACGAGCAGGAAGAAGATTTCTTAAGATTAATTCAGTCTTGAAAGGATTGTGAATAAGCATTTATCTTGAAATGTTAGATTCACTTAATAAAATGAAATTCAACGCAATTTCCATGAGCAACTCTTTCTCTCTTTTGACTTACAAGATTGGAAAGGATTTGAAATATTACAGTCGGGCAAGACCGACTGGCATAGTTCATTACCTATTTTCCTCCTAAAGTAATTAAAATTGTATCTTGGTTCCATGTAAAGGCTTGCAGTACACAAGAGCCCCTACAGGCGGGGATATTTCAAACATGAAGCAATATAGTCCAAATTTAATAAAGTTAATTTTCTTATCTTTGGCGCCTTGACAAACGCTTAACTCTCATAAGCATTCTTATATGAGAAAAAGTCCGAAACATAGGCTTAAGTGATCTAAGATCTTAAGTGATCTATTGCATAGTATATGATTAATCCGAAAGTAGTTGCCATATGTAATTTTTTTCTCCCTTCTCCCCAACGAAATATTACAAATCGCAAATACCTTTTCGTATAGAGCGTTGTAGGAGACACGATAGTAAAAATCATCTTCAATAGCGTTCGGCCTTGCACCGCATTTGCTCATTTCAAAAAATTGCCACTATTGTGTTTATAGCAAGCAGTCCCACTTCAGATTTAGCAGATGTCTTCGGTTGAGAAACCTTGATGAATTTTCTCCTTTTTGTGTAAAATAATTTAGTTGCTTGCTAGCGTGTATGATGAATATATGCTACTCAGACTTAGTCTATCAAGAGTTACTTGACCGGCTCCAAGGGCAACTTCAACTTTTTCTCGATTACATAAATTTATAAATAATTTACATTATAAAGGGATGTGTGCCAGGCTAATACCATAAAAGAGCAAAAAAAAAAAAAAAAAAAAAAAAAAAGAAAATAAATAAATTCTTTTACACAAGCTTACTTTTTCAATTTATTGCTTTACTGAATTATTATTTTTATTTAAAATGAAAAGAAAACACAATTTCAAAATAAATCATTTCACTAACAACTACAGCAACAGCAACAGCAACAAGAACAAGAACAACGGCAACAAGAAAACTATTTCCGTATTTCAGAGAATTTCTTGCTTTATCAGTACAAATGAAAGCTTTACCAAGTAGAAAAAAAAAAAAAAAAAAAAAAAAACATAGTATTAAGTAAGAAAGAATAATTCGCTTTGAGACGAATCTTCGTTACCCATCATTCTAAGCAAGCGCTTGTCCATAGTATGAACAATCAATGATTTCCTTTAATAAGATAAGATAAATTCTCGTTTCTATATCCGTAAGAAAATTCAATTCAATGTCGTCATCTGATGACATTCTCAATGAAAACAATTTCAATTTCTCAAGAATTTCTTCTTCTTTCTCGTATTATTTTAATATTTTCGGTTTTTAACGAGAAAATTTTTCATTTCGTTTTCTTCTTTAGCTTGCGAAGAAATTTTTACTTGGCACACAAAAAATATATCAATTTTTTGTCAAATTTTTTGCGTACATCAGCAATAGGAGGACCGGCACATCGACATCGATCGTTATACATATCCAAGGTCCCGAAAATATTCACGCATGCATTTATGCATATGTTACATACGAAATGATAAAAATGTCGTATTTCCATTCTTTGTGTGGTGTGTATGTAACCGAGAAGCAAAAGCAAGAAAATAAGTGCAGAACGATCGGAAAACGGAAATACTTTAACAATATGTTTTACACGACTTAAATACATGCACAAACTCTCATAACCGAACCATCCTACTTCCACGTGCACATTTGTGTACACATTCAATTGGACAACAAGCTAAAGAGCTATGTTGAGCGGTCATAAATTCTATGCAAGGAACAGAAAAATATGATTATTTACAATAAATGCACATGAAAGATGTATAGAGAAAAGAATTCAATATATATATATTCAATATATATATATATATATATATATATTTATGTAGCTATATATAGATATATATCGATAGTCGATAAGAAGTTTTCATTGGACAAAAACAAAAACAAAGGGGTTTCAATAAATTATACAATTTATAAAATGAATGCATACATAATATACACACTCATATATATATATATAAATACGCATACCTATGCAAATAAATTCGTGCAAATACCATTGAAATGTCTTCTTGTTCAAGTAGAAAATCGTATTAGTCAAAAATCGGATTATTAATGTAATCAATAAATGGAAAAGAACACTTGAAAGCATTAATACTTAACAACAAAGCAATAAAATCAACAACAGTGAGGGCGGAATTGATACGGACTCACTCTATGGCAATACAATCGATGCCTAGTCATTGTGATGCATTGCTTGTTGCATTAACGCCCGAAGTATGGAAATATATTCATCGCTACGTTCCCTTTGTAACGCAAACACCATTACAATCATTCAAGTTTCAATAAAATGAACGCAAATTCATTTCATAGATGAAAATGTTATTAGTCTTGTGCTCGACGTGCTCGAAAACTAAAAGTTAAAATAGACATTTCAATGATGATTTTCTCAAGAATTGCAGTTTTTTACTGATATTCTTAAAAATAACGAAAAAAAAATTAATTGATTTTCATCCCTTTAACTGAGTAGATGAGTGTCCGATATTCGTTCTAAGATCTCCTCAGATTGCGTGCTTCTTTTAGGCTTTAATATTTTTTCCTTTTTTTTTTTTCTTCGAAATGAAATTTTTGCAATCGATTACCCCATCGGGTTATTTAGAAAAAAGCAACAAAAAAAAAAATTGAATTTTTTTTTTAAATTTCAAAATTAAAAAAAAAAAAAAAAATGCGATTAACAAACGCTTATACTTCTCTAGTATGAAAGGAAGTAAGAGCATTGCATTCACTTGCGAAATCATTTTGAAAACGGTTTAGAAGTGATTTACGTTATTTTTATTTTATACCTACACATCATCGAAGACCGAAGGGTGTTATATTCATTGCTTGCCACGATCTAAAGTAGACGTCAGAAAATTCGAATCGATTCTGAATCGATTTAAGCATGCCTGTTTGTCCGTTTGTCAATGCCTTTTGTAAACATTCTCCTGGCCACAAATATGAAGCTGGCGACTTTAAATTTGGCAGAAACATTGCGGTGTTCTTGCATGCAGGCTGCTATTGAAAATGGATCAAATCGATCGGATGCCACGCGTACAGCCAACCACGTAAGCTGACGACACCTCGGTTTTTAAAAAGGAATAGAAAATTGGCCTTTTGCCCATTAGTCACAAGCCACAGCAGACCGCGCCCACCCACTATTATGGTAAATCAAAATTTTATCTTTTTTCCCAATACCTTTATAAAGCGCAGAAGCAAGCTTTTTCTTTTTTTTAATTATCTATGCATTGGATTTTTAACTTGCCAATGTTAGTCGTCAGATGAAAATGAGGCGTCAAGAAATATTAGTAAATTAATTGAGGAACAAGTCCAATTATTCAAGTATACCGGCATGTATGGCGCTGTGTATGAAAAGTTGAGTTTACACCGCACATGTCAGAGAAATAATCTAAAA